AAAAATACACGCTTTGGTAGCGAATTAAAAATAAACACAAATAATGTTGCACTATCTATTTCCTGGCTGCACAATAGTACCACCATTACCATCCCCAAACTTAAGGTTTATTTTTTAGCAACTTAAGTATCTACCCCCAGATCCTGGCTCCATCATATATTAAGAGCTCCAATATCCGAAATTATAGTATTATCATTGTAACTGCATATAAAGCTTCATTCGATACGACATTCATAAGCTGCTTAAAATTATTAGTTTACTCTAGTTCAGGCAGGCAGCTTTTACTAAAGTTTTGAACTAAATCTTAATTAATACCTTTATGTGTAAAAAAAACATACGATACGAATCATACAATAATAAGAATAAAATAACACTATTATAGTTTTACGCTAGTTTAACTTAGTCCGTTCCGTCCTTTTTCCGTGTGGTGACCCTAATTCATCCCGTGGGTGACGTAAGAGGCGATTGGTCGCCTCTTACGTCACCCACGGGATGAATTAGGGGAGCAAACTACGCAAAACAGCACTGCAAAGAGAAGCAAAACTTGACACAAACCCCATACCAACACGTCTGCAGAGCGTGGTATAGTAGATCAAAACCTCCTTTCTAAGGAGAGGCTTATGTCCAGCAGTGAACTATTAAAGGCTGTTGATGATGTGATGGGTAACTTAGTCTAATTATTGTCTAAGATCTATTTTAAACTGAAATGTTCTACACTGTAATATATATATTGGTCAAATAGATGATTATATGTTTATAATTAATATCCAAGATTTGTTTACCTAGTTAATTAGTTATAGGTAACTAAAATAATTAAAAACGTATAAAAAACTGGTTTGATAGGGCTCAGATGAATCTTTATAGAAAATTATAGTAAAATTATGTATAATGAGAATGATAACTATGTTATAACAGGTATCTTTAATTTGTTTACAACTAAGTTTCTTTAAAGTTATGATCTCAGCTTTTTCGGTAAGTGACTACCACCGCCCATGGGCAGCTGCAACTCAAGAGTCGTAAGTGCGTTATCGCCCTTTGGGTCCAACTCCTAGAATTAGGGGGAGGAGGGATTTGATTACCACGTCTCTTCAGCCAGTCGGTAGAAAATAGCGAAATTATTACTTAACACCGGTTTTCTGTGAGGCCGTAGTTACTCCGGTCGAGCCTGGCCCTGGCCTTGCCTATACTTGTTAAGAAACTCAAGTTATACGGCTTCGTTTAGGTAAGTGCATATTTTACTACTTAATCCGTCTTTTTTACGTGCGTCGAACCGACTTAAACCACACAGAATGCCATGCCCGCAATAGCGCTGTTAGTGACTTCGAGTAAAAACGACCTCTATAGTAGTTACAACTCTAGTAGGAGACACGCCATAGTGTGTGGAGGGAAAAACCTTAACTAGTCTATCCCAAGGAAACATTGTTTTTTGATAAGGAAATTAACGCGATCACGTATAGGGTAATGGGTAACTAGACTAAAGTAATGTCAATGGTCACAGTTTAATTCATAAAACTCTTTAAGATGTAAAGAAAAAAGTAAAACTTTTGTTTTAAGCACAATGCCAGCACTAGGACTATATCCTTTACATTACAATCATTACAATCATTCGTGAAGAGGACACAAAGAACACCCAGACTCAGAACAAACATTTGTTTATCACACGAAGTGTTGTACCACGCGATGACCGAACCCACAACTATTACGCGTAGCACTTGCACACCCACCGAACAAAAGACATTGACGCGTTCAAATTGCACACATATATGTTATGAAATAGAATCTCATAAAATAGTTTTTTGACTCAAAAGCTATGTTTGACAAATAAAATCTTGTTTGTTCTTTTGTCACCTCTAATCTCCTAAACCAACAAACAGAGAACTAAACATACACGGACCTTTTCTTTGAATTGGTTTTTTGTCTAATGTTATGAGTACACACTCATAATATTAGACAAAAAATATATTGTTATAATCATTCTTGATTTATGTTTTAAACGAGGGTCGCAGTAGAATTATGCTCAAATTGAAGCCGCCTATCAGAGAAGTAATAATACTGTTAAACAGTATTACTAGAATAATGTAGTAGTATAATTGTCTAGTTTGATTTTTAACAAGTCTGGCAATTTCGAGTATTCCATTAGGGTTTTCAAATGTCATGTCATGAAGTCAACCCACCGGTAGATGCCACCCACCTCCGGGGTGGTCAAGTCTCTCATACCATCAGGCGGGGAACCAGAAACTTAGGAAGGAAATGTCTCGTATCGTGTCGTCGTCGTAGAGCTCCCTAAGATATATATTAACTGACTTGGACTTGTTGACTGCACGGATGGCCTAGTGGTTTAAGCGGTCACTTCAATATGAATGGCGAGTATTTTGGGTTCGATGCAAACATGAAACAATACTTTGTGTGATACACAAATTGTTGTTCTGAGTCTGGATGTTCTTTGTGTCCGTTTCATTTATGTTTGTAAAGTCCCCCACGACACAGCATATATTCCTAATGCCTAACTTACAACGTTTTTCATTTACAGTTAATGTCTTTCTTCTTTTTATAGATAGGTATCTATATATTAATACAGGAAGATAATGCATCGTACGACTTTTTAACAATATTTATGTAAACCAGATAAAATATATTTGAAACACTTAACGTTTGAACGTGTAAATGCAGAAAAAGTGAAGAAAACTAAAGATAAAAAAAAACAATATGTGCCATAAAGTTAAAAATATTAAAAATCGCTGCATAAAGTTATAGGGGTTCAGTACTTATGTTGACCTTTCATACTGCAAAAGACTAACAGTGACAGTTCAAGTTATGCTGGACTGAATTAATGAGACATTCATAACAGTAGAAATTTTAAAAGTGTATTGAAATAAAATATACTTTAAAGGTAATTTGAAATTGACTATGTATACACACATTTATATATTTAGTAAAACAGTAAAATGATGTAATTTTATTTTTTAATTTTATTATTTTGTTTCCAATCATTTACTATTTTGAAATTCGAGTTAATATACAATTTATAAAATAAACGTTTTATATTGGAATTGGGAATTTGATACAAATTTGAATGACAAATTTTAGAAATGCGAGATCTATGTATTCAATAGTGAAACTAAAACTAACCAGTCTATAATCTATTTGGAAAGTGATGTATAATGTTACATAAATATTACAAATAAAAAAACGGTCCTCAATAACATACTTGAAATTACAATGGAAACAAACTAAATTACCTAATATTCTTCGTCTTTCTAATAAGACAGCTCAAAGATCTTTAATACAGTGTGTAAAGTGGTCTTTCAGTAGATTAGAACCTTTCGTAGTTATAACTTAAACTACTAGATGGCGCTGATTATTGGGTTTTCGTTTCACCTAGTAATATTTTTAATAAGACAGCGCCTGTTGGTAAGCGGTTTCCGATACTGGTTACTACGGTTTACTTTACTAAAAGATCATTTTTGCTTTTCGTTACTTGAACTCGATTTTGATTTCATTTACATATTTTTATACTGAAATTTCTTTTGGAACTGTAGAGAACTGAAGAGATCTTTATCATTCATCAACAGCCTTGATTTGAAAACTGCTGGACATAGGCCTCTCCTTAGAAATAAGGTTTTGTCCTACTATACCACGGCCAAACGGGTTGGTATAAGGTTTGTGTCAAGTTTTCCTTCTCTTTGCAGTGCTGTTGTCCTGTGTAGTTTGCTCCCTTAGTTGGCTCTTACAACAACCACGATACGAATAGGGGTGTTGACACTCCGTATTCTTAGTCCGTCACCCCACGGATAATCTTACGGATGATCTTTATCCTTAGGAGAATGAATGAATGAATTAAATCAATACAGTTCATATAAAAAATATTTTATTAACATACAATAAAAATTAAATAGCAAAAGTATTATCTAAAAATAAATAAAACCTAATCACATAATGCGTTTCGTCTTCAAACAAAACAATAAAAAACCTTAATTACAAAAATATAGACCACATAGTCTTTTTGAATCCTAATTTAGGACTAAAGTGAGTATTTTTCTATCATTACCCTTGAAAGGGTAATATTTACCCTTTAATGTTATACGATGGGGGTCGAAATGAAATTTATGATGATGAAAAAATATGGTACTGCAATATAACGAAACATAAATAATGACAGTGATAGTGATATGAGTGATAATAGCTGATGACACAATGGTATATGATGATAATGATGATGATAAGCGATGAAAAATGAATTTGATTATGTCATGATGATTAGAATACAATAGTTTGACGAATATTTTAAAAATAATAGCCATGATGACGATGACATTAGATTTGATTTGTGAATATCAAGAACATTAGAATACAAGTGAAATAAATAATGAATAACCAAGGTATATAATTGAAACGATTTAATGAAGTTATTCTCAACTATTATGTAATAATATTAATTCGTAATTATAAATATAAATAAGTTAGCAGTGAAGATGATTTATGATGATCGCTTTATCTAGAGAACAATGATTTTAAACGTATTTAATGATTTTATGGCCACAGTTAAATGAAGGATGGCTTTATACAACGTTAAATTAAAATTCTAACTCATAAAGATATACAAAGTGAAAGTATTAAATAGTGATAGTGATGAAGAATTAAATAGGAATGAATGATGATATTGATCATTAACAACAAAGATAGCACATGTAATAAGATCAGGAATTTTATAATCATGGTTGATAATGAGAACCGTGGAGTGAACGTAATATGATTATGATTGCTAATGGAATTATCATTATAATAATGATGATGATGATAATGAAAAATGTATAAAAATGAATTCTGATAAATGATGATTGATGTATCTAAAACAAAGTTTACGAAACAACAATAAAAATCAACAATGATGACTGTGAATTTAATTACAATATTATGACGTCACCAAACGCAATAAAAAATTTTGATTCTTTATATTTACATTATTTAATTGGCCTTTTCTTATTAAATATTTCTATCTACTATTTGTCTAGTACTTTGTCTATCCAAGGCACGAATTTCTGTATGTTTGTGTAAACGCCGGGGAGATGTTCACGGCCACAGCCGATGCCCCAGGACACGAGGCCAATGAGAGTACTTCGACCTTCGAGCTTCATGGTGAGGGGGCCTCCGCTGTCACCTTGGCAGGAATCACGGCCTCCCTAGAAGTTTAAAGATTTTAATAGATAATTTAGAATATCCTTAAAACAAAGTCTACATAAAGTGAAACAGGCGTATGCAATTTGCCTTTCTATTAAAGTTGAAATTTTATACAGCACTCAACATGAGAACTTTCAGGATCAATAAGCTATCGAATGAATGAAGTTCAAGTCAAATCAGTTTTCTTTTAGTAAATGTCTAATTCGTTCATTAGATAGTAGATTGTATGATAAATAAATAATGCAACAAAGAAAACGAAAAAAAAACAAATTTCCTTAAAACACATTGTCTTATGAGGACTGTTAAATAACTTATCTTAACCGTACTAAAGTCTTGCAGCGCCATCTATCGACGACAATTGTTCGCTGGATGGCGCTGTTAATTGTAACAGTTAAAGATTTACGACACACAGTCTTACACAAACATATTATATCAAATGATTTTCGTTTTTCCTCTACAAACGGAACTCTAAAAAGATGCAGTACCTCTTTATATCCAGCGCAAAGAAACACGTCGTGGATGGTCTCCCTTCGTCCGGCTGCTCGGAACCAACGTTGACAACGCTCGTTGGGGATCACTTCTACGTCCACCTCCTGATTGGACACACAAACGTGTTAGGAATTAGATGTACAATTCCTAAAGACAATTTTATTTACTAATTTGTAATTATAGCCATAGATTTTATATGAGGATTCGGCACATATGGTCCGGCTCGACGGGACTGACACACAGCACAGCATCATAGAAAACCGGTGTTAACGAGTGTGTTTAAAGTTTATGGCTTGTGAACAAAGAAACGCAATGTACTTGCATCTAATTTCACAATCTATCTCTATTTTGATCCTTATTACCATCATTTTTATGCCCAACTGTTTATAGGGTCGGCGTGATGAGTAACATTGCAAGTTGTTTTGGCTAGATTTATGGTCTGACTGACGCTAACCCTCCTGGGATTCGTGAATTAATTTTATAATAAATAATATTAATATTGTGTAAAAATAATGTTATTAAAACTTAAATTAAAAGCAGAATAACCTGAAACGTCCTCAATTTATTCTATTATTGATATATTTTTATGAAAATAGTGACTATTTATCACAACATGTGATCATACCTGTAGTACAGACGGTACTGAGCTCTGCCCATGTCTGGTCCGTCCCCAGCCAGCCACAGTTGCCATCTTGCCAGCTAACTTTATTTGCTTCTGGGGTAAACACACCTGGAAACAAGAATTGATAAATGTGATAGAATTATATGATAAAAAATTGTTTGTATAAGTTGAGAGTGGCCTTAAGGCATTATAACTCTGTTGGGATACCCCAAGTAAGTTTTCCTTGGGGTATCCAAACAGAGTTATAATGCCTGTTAAGATATTAAATTTTTGATTACTTTGATATAACAAGACTTAATTTATGTAAACTACACGTAGATAAGAAAATTTTAGAATTTAATATTTTCTTCTATATTAAATTAGTTAGCTAGGAAATGGCATGGCAGAGATACTCAAAAGCTACGTAGTAAACTAGAAAATGACCTTATGAAACTAGGTTTAAGGTGCATTTGTAAGAAAAAGAGATCGTGTAAATGTTACAGGTTGGTTTAGTTTCTACAACAGGACATATTTAATATATGATATAAATAAATATAAAATGATAAAGGACAAAAATAGTTGACTTAAAACGCCTACTATATTACTACTATATTATCACTGGTACTACATTCCATTTCACGATCGGTACATCGATGACCAAAAAAGCTGTCTCAAGCACAACATATGTATGAGTATTCTATCATAGAAGCATACATACGTAGATTGTATAACAAATAGATGTGGATAATATTTTGGATATATATATATATATATATATATATATATATATATATATATATATATATATATAATATCTATTTATATACCTAATAAAAAAAAAACAAAATATTTTTGAACGCTGGAGGGTATGTGTGTACTATTTTGCATGTTTGTAACAAATACGCAGTAAGTCTCATGTCTCCTAGCTAACATGGATTTTAATATTAAAATTTTTTTTAAAATTTATTTTAATATTAAAATAAAATCCACAGGTCACGGTCAGGTTTACAGGCCATTAATTAGATACAAGAAATTCATTAATAGGTATACTTTAGCATTAACGTACAGAGGGGCGGAGACTCCTGGCATAAGGATCTTACATGCTTAAAAGGAGTCTCCAACAATAATAGTTGTAATTATACCTGTGTTATGGAAAATAAAGTTATTATTATTAAAGGTATTATAAATTAGGATAATTAATTTTATTCTGTAACTTTTTTTGCTTTGTTTACAGTCCATAATGTAATATAGAATACTTATTTTAATGCTCTACTTCTTAACACGCAGTATAAAATTTTTCATTGTATTAGATTCTACCACGCCACAGGCATGATATTTTACGAACCAATAAAGGTTGAAATGAAAAATAAAATACATTACGTATAAGAAGAAAGAGTTCTGTGAGAATGAACAGGAGACTCACAGGAAGTATATGCTGCTTGAACACGACGCCTCTATCCAATTGTACCAGTGCCACATCATTTCTGAAGTCGGCGGGCTCGTATGAAGGATGAACCTCCTTCCTCTGGACTGAGAACTCTTCATGTATGTAGCGTTCACCAGCATCTCGAACGTCCCATTCACCAAGACGGACACGGAGTTGATTGTTGGGAGTACTGTAATAAGAATTTCGACAATATATTATGAATATGTTAGTTATAGAAGTGTGGTAAACAAGCTAATACGTGGAAGAGGCTTGCTTCCCAAATGGGTCAGTCAGTTCAGTCAAAATTCAGTGTCGATCTCGCAACAGTCATAACAGGTATTTTCGTAGTAAAATAGAAAAGTATTACTAAGACTACGATATTATTGATTCAATTTTCGGTTACAATATGATATAATCACATTACAGTCAACGGTGGAGTTTTAATACTTCACTATTAAAATACCTTTTAAGATTTGAGATCGAGAATTGACCGGCACTGAATTGTGACCGAACTCTTATTACGAGAATTGGCTTTCAGAGTGATACTCTAACAGAAAACCGCTTTTAAAGTTACTATAATAAAAAAGTGAGTGATGTTGAGCTCAAACTCCCTCCCTCCTTACTTTGGTGGAAGGGGTGAGGGGTATTGGTATTAGGTGTGGGCTCCGATTTGCGCAGTCAGACTCGAGAGTGGTCCTTTATGCGTCTAGAAGAGGTTGGCTAAGTGAGCCAACCAAGCTCCTTCCAGAAGCGCAGAAGCCTCCTGGGGCGTTCACAGGCTTCTAGGAGCGATTTTGTACCATGTATGGTACTTGCCCGCTGTGTGGCCTTCCCGCGCATTCAAGGATTACGTGGGCGGCCGTTTCTTCTGCTTTCAGGCATCCTCTACAAAGAGGACTGTCCGTCACATTAATGAAAAGGCAGTGGCAGGAGTGTGGTTGGGCCGACAGCCGGGGTCGCCGAGCCCCTCCTTGCCAACTCATCTGCACCGTCATTCCTTTATTAAAGGACGCACGCACTTGTGACCCTTGAGTTGCAGAGTGCCATGAGCGGAAGTAGCCACCTACTATTAGGTAATCCGCAAAAACAACACAGATACAGTTTTTATCTCTGATTCGACTTGTAAAAACCGGATTTCAAACTATTCCGGTAGCTAAAACCGGAAGTTCTAAACTAATGATGAATGAAAGGTTACTATACTAATTAATTAGTTTTATGTAATAAAGAAAGACCGAATAACAAACTTGATGTTTTAATCATTCGTTTATCTATGTACTTCTCGGAAAATAATTATGTTAATTGAAGCCGTTTCCGGTTGATTATTTTACTAAATTACATAACACATGACTCAGCTAATTGACTAGACAACAAAGTTCTATTTTAAAACAATGGTTGATGTTTCAAGTCTGTGGATTATGTGAAAGTCTTGGAAATACCTTGTCAAATTATAATTTGAAATAAAATTATAGGTTTTAAGATAGCCGGAAGACGAAACAATTCCAAGAAGTGAATGTCCGCTATTTCGGGGACGGAAAATAACTCACTAAGATTTATAAAATTAACTGATTCTTAGAACGAGAATTCGGTTTTTGTAACATAATCTTTCTTCTTACATTGACCCCATTTTTTCTAAGTCTATTACCCAAAAGTTTATAATCAGATACGCTGCTATACTGTTTTTTTTCGGACATCTGACAGACAACGCCATCTAGTTTCAAACTAAGTTGAGCTGGTACTATGAAAGCTACTAACCTAATGTTTCATACTAATTTGACACTTTCTATGAATGTGTTATCTATATCGTGAAAAGGTAATGTTTGGGCACATATGAGCCAGTTCTACCGGGGTGAAACCACGGCCCCACAGGAAACTGGTGTTTAACAATTCATTCGTTGCTTTTCGCCGAGTGAGTGATGTGACCGGAGCTATTCTAGAGAAGTAGCCGTAGATGGCCCGAGATACGTCGGGATACCAGGGCTTTCCTGCTTAGGGTACACCTGGTTCCCTGGCAACTGGTACCCAAGACGGCGTTCGGTTTTTGGTCGGTTCGAGTCCGACATAACCACGCCACCGGTGGGTGGCATCCGAGGGAATTTCCGCACAGAAAAAAAAACCGTGGCACTTCGGGAGTGCCAATAGAATTGAAAATTATATACAAAGGTGTCGGTCGCGGTAACGGTAACAGTAACGCGAGTTCAATTGCTTTTTTTCCATCTCAAAAAATGACCAAAGCGGTTAAAGAAGTTTTCACTTCAACAGAGGTGTCGGCAACGGTAACAGTATTGCGAGTTCAAGAGTTTTTTACAATAAAATACATTATTTTGTTTGTTGTTCAAAAATGCCCAACGCGCCTAAAGAAGGATTCACTTCAAAAAAGTGGAGGAGGTACTCAAAGAGTGGGAATGCACTTGCGTTTCTTGTGTATGGGCGGTAGTACCCCCTATGCACACCACCGCGGTAGTCAGTTACCATCAGGTGACCCGTCTGCTAGTTTATCTTCTATACCCTAAAATATCTATTGTCGAATCCGGAAGTATGGATTCGACAATAGATATTATACTTATACTGTAAACGTTAAGGTGAGTTTGTTTTTTTTTTGTTGTTTGTTACGCTTTCATGCCTAAACCACTTAACCGATTTCAAAAATCATTTCACCAATGGAAAGCTACATTGTCAGCAAGTAACATAGGCAACTTTTTACCGCGATTACCGACATACACGCGGGCCGAGCCGCGGGCAAAGCTTATATATAAATAATAGGAGAAGCAACATTTTAACATATATGGCAGCCTTCCATTAATATTAAGAGTAATAATAGTAAGATAAAAACACTTACGTAGCGACACAGTGAGCAGCAGTAATTACCCATCTATCTGAGATCAAAGCGCCTCCACAAGCGAGCTTCTTGCTTAGAAACCCTGACTTGATCAAGGCGGCTTGCCATGGATGGGATCCGAACCCGGTGGAATGACCTCCGACTATACGATTGGAACGCGTAAAGTGTTCTCCACAACCTGGAATTTTAGAATTTATATTTAAGTCTTTTATGTGTTCGTGCTGCATTTGAAGTGGTGTTTAAAATTTGAAATGTGTGCTCAATATAAAATTATCATATTTTTCTCTTCATATCAAACGTGAATAAAGAAGAATAGCAAAAGCATAGAAATATCAGTAAAAATTCTAGATAATATATTTGGGTAATTGAAACTGCTGTAAAATCTGGCGGGGTGCACTTTTGGCCTCTTTCACCATATTTATAAGCTCATTTTTATATAATTTTTGCTAAACTGTAAAAACACTTTTTTAAAGAATTACATTTAATATGTGTTCCCTTGAATAGAATTTCGTCTCTATAATGATACTATAGATATAATATTGAAGATACTATATTGAAAAATAGTCATCCTGAATAGAGAATAAAAAGAAAGATGGTATCAGACAAATAAACATAAAAACCTTAGGAGCTCTTTTCGCACACTCACAACGTACCCGTTAAGTGGGTCATTAAATAACTGTACTTTTTATGCTCTTCTTAATCTGATAACATTAGTTTAACTCTGAATTTTTCTAATGGTTGACAAATTGACCTTTTCCGTTCGTCCTTTCTTATCAAAAACATGGACATTACTATTGCAAATACTTTAAATATTAAAATCTTTACTGTTGATATTATCTTTTCAAGATTTTGACTGCCTAAATATTACAAAAATAGACATAAGAGAATACGATATATCTCAATGATATACTTAAGTACATAGACTGAACGTTTATACATACAAATTATTATTTACATTAAAAATGTTATTACATATTTACATATACTCGTACGTAACTAGCAGATAACACATATAAACATTAAAAATTAAGCACATACATTTACCTACATAAAATATGTAAACAAAGCGTGCATAACAATAAAGTCACTTTACAATCATGCATGCATAAACGACAAAGTTATCGATATAGTGTTGACTCGCTCTTACACATGTTTATAAAATCACTTTGCGTCGCATGCATTATGTCTAGTCACTTTAACCGCATGCAAAGTGACATGGTGCATGATGATTATGAAAACGCAGTGCTGATATAAAAGCAGGAAAGACATAGAATGACAGCGACGAAACTCAAGTAGATTTTTGGAACGAAGTTCCTTATCGCGCGCTACACGCTCTGAGCAGATGGGAGCGAGACCGAAAAATGTGTAACAAGACTTTTCTCCGACATTTCTTGCGGAACTTCGTTCCAACCCGTGCATATACCCCTCACGCCGTTTTTGTGTATTATAGAGAGATATATAATTATTGATCTTCTGTAATGTTTTATTGACGTTGTTTTTTTCCACAAATAACGTTAAGAATGTACACAAACAAATGATCTCTTTCCTTGGATGATTTTTACATTGGTCGCAATACTTCTAGCTTGTGTCATCTCGTAAATACAACAGAATTTATGTGATGTTATTAGAAAACACCTTCCTTTTGAGAAATCCTCAATACGTTATATCCGTTAACATCCAGGTGGCACTTATTTCTAAATATAAATGGAAAACCTTCAAATCTTGTAAAATTTGAAAAAAAAAAAACATACTCGTATAGTTATATTGTTTACTGTACAAAACGTTTCACAGAAAGACTTCTAACTATTTGTGTTTAAACCATGCTTTTTTTGATAGATACCGAACGCGCTTGATGTATTAAAAAAAATTGGATAATATACAAGATGTCTCAAAAGAAAATTTTAAGAATGCATGCGATGCATTACTATCGGCATATCATGGGCTTGTAGAATCCATTCTTAGGTATGGCATCATCTTCTGGGCCACCTCTACCAATAAAGATATAGTGCTTAAAATGCAAAAGCGATGCATACGGGCTATGTTCGGCCAAACTACAGAGACCCTGTAGGCCGGTATTCATAAAGTATAATATTCTCAAGCTCCCATCACTATACATAATGGAAACAGCCTTATTCGTCAAAAACAACCAACACTTATATCCACGTTTAGCTGATGTATATAGCGGTAGGAATAATAAACGAAACAATAATAGACTTTGTATTCATTAGGCCAAAACAGCGCTATTACATAAAAGTGTTGTGTGCAAAGCTCCAGTAATCTATAATAAGATTCCCGAAAATATTAAAAAATTAAACATAGAATTATTTAAAAAGACATTGAAAAAATTATGAATGACAAAACTTAATGCGAAATGTAACTTATTATGTAATGATAATATTGGCTTGAACGATTTTTTAACATACATTAATATCTTTCACGTCACTAATGTTTGCATGCTGTGGTCTCCTATAATTGAGGGAGTACACCGAAAGATTACTGTGAAGTATTTATAGTAAGTCATAACAACTGTGTATATCATTTGTTGGAGATCCTTAAATTATATAAATAAATAAATAAATATCCAATAATATAGATAATTTTTGCAATGTACGGTCTGTGATATTAATTTATTAATAATTTGAGATGACTGACAATGAAATTAATAATCGTATTATAACTTATTCTTCCGGCAAAGTGTATTTGAATTGTTTGAATTTTAAAATGTAACATTGTAATGATAAATATTTGCACACCAATAATGTGGTAAAATGCAGCGGACAAATCTATATTTTGTAACACCTATAAATGTACCTGTGTTTGGAAATAAATTGATTTGATTTGAATTAAAGTTAAAGTTTACGTTAGTAAACCAAATCTGGCCCAGTCAAAACAAAATATTCGCGAATTCGAAATGGGAGCCATCACGGAGCATACTCGCATAGCCGTCATCTGAAATTTTAGTATTAGATTGAATGAATGTCGTGAACGCAAGGATAGACATTTGGACGACTGTATTTTTAAGAAATAAATTTCCAAAGCTTGTATTTTCATAATTAATAAACATTTTTTCGACAAATGGCTTATTAATTTTTTACCGCTTTTTTACATGTAAACTTTTTGTTGAGACACCTTGTATTAAAATGTATATAAAATATCCGACGGATTCTGAAGAATAATTACAATTCAAAACTTCTTACAATAAAATTTCTTACTTATTTATACTTTAAGCTCTATTTTTATACTTTGCAAATCACTTGAGTTTCGACACGCTAAGACTTAGAAAAAAATAATTACAAAGCCTAGTTTTTAAAATCTCACCAGGAAAACTAGGTCTTGAAGGCTTATGGCTTGTGTGTACTGGTACATAATCATCATCACCTTGGTTATCCGCTTCGTGATAATCAGGTTTATAATAAACATCCGGTTTTTTTGTCGAGCTTTCGTGATAGGAAGGTTTCACGTGGTAGAAATTATTGTGGTTCCACCCGGGACGGTTTAAATCCGGTTCTGGGTCGGACAACTCCGGTTTATGGTGATAAGGCTTGTTGTCCGTGTAGATAATGATGGGGTCTTCGAATTGGTTGTTTTGGTAATCGTAGTTCTCGTGAGGAAAGTTTCCGATCAGTTCGATTAGATCACCTGTTTTGGAATTGTGTTTTAGTTTTGTGTTAGTTTGGGTGTTATAATATTACGAGAGAGGAGTGTTGTGTTTGTATTGTTGTGTTGTAATTGTAAATTGTAATTTGATTGATAGTAATAAATATGGCGTGTGGATAAGTTGATCAGCTACTATCCTATATCACCCTTAATACATGTAGTCATGTTTACATTGCCGAAACTTCTACCCTAGATACAGGCGTCTAATACTCCCATATTTTGTTGATTATAATTTTAATTCCGTTTACGTAATAGGCGGTAAGGCTACACCTTTCTAACTATTACAAATTGCTATTAAACTAACTATAGTTTAGTTTTAACTAACAACATCGAAGTCTAGTAATAATATCTTTAATCATTTCACCCTATCAATGTAATTTCTTCTAAATGTTTAAAAATTTAAGCACAATGTTGTCATACAAATCTAACTGTTTACTAATAATAAAACTTTTGATTTACATGATACACATGTAACACCTATTATTTATATCGAAATTAATACGAACGAACAACACATACGAACAACAGGTATAGAATATCTATGAATACAACCCATGCAAATTGGATGAAATGTTAGGTAATTTAATGGTATATCACAAATATAATAATAGAGGGGCAAGCGAGGAGAAGGGTCATTTGATGGAAAGTGACTAAAGCCGCCTGTGAACGTCTGCAACTCAGAAGTCACAAGCGCGTGCGCACCAGCCGGCCGAGGTAGGAGTTCGCTCTTTTCTTGAAGGTTTGAAAGTCCTATTAGTCCGAAAATACCGCAGACGATCATTTATTCCACAGATTGGTTGGGCGAGGCAAAAACTGTCTTGAAAACCGCACGGTGGTGGATTGCCAATTATCCAAGGGATTGGAATTAACTAACTCTATCTAATAGTACTTTGTATCCAAAATTTATACCTTATCTGTGAATACCTTACGGCACTCTTAATACATGTAACTTTTATCCTTATATAGGTTTAACTTAGAAATCAAGATCCAAGTGAAAATCCGAGTGAAAGCCACCATTCGACCGTTAACACAATACCCCGGAGCAGTGTAAGTAAAAATAATTGGATGGGTACATAGGTTTACGTAAGTGAATTGATGTAAAACGGAATCGATACAATTAGAAAGAAAAAGAAAACTATATAAGTGTAAATACCTTTTACGCAATATATACCTTTTTAAAAGTAAAGGTTACAGTAGCCGAGTCTAAACTGAAAAATTTAGTTTAAAAATATAATATTGGGATTGAAGTGACAAGCACAAGGCCTGTAATTGGCAAGCCGCCATAATATGTGATTATGAATACTTGAGCCTGTCAAAAGTCTCTAAAACGCCTTAGTTATAATGGATAGGTAGTGGTTTAGCTCAGCAATTCGTAAAGCTAGTTCTTTATGGTATAAGTGGGCAAACGAGCAAACAGGTCACCTGATAGTAAGCAACTACCGCCGCCCATGGACACATGTAACTCAAAAGTCACAAGTGCGTTGCTGCCCTTGGAGTCCCTACCGCTCGAGTCAGCGGGAGGGGGGATTTGGGCTCAGGTAACCTCACCGTTAAGGAGAATTATACGGCCTCTTAGCTAAATCTTTTATTTTATTTATTTAGGTAAATAAACATACAAGATTGATTTGAAAAAGACTTGATAGGTATCAAGTTTATTTGAGTAACGATTAGGTAAAACTTTGAGTTTTTAAAATAGTAGGGATTTGATGAGCTGATGAAAAGATTTCGGCTTTAACTGAAGCTGCACGAAATTCAGTATTGCCAGCCTATAAAAGACGTTTAAATTTTTTCTTTCTGGGATAGAGCGGCAAACATCAGGAAGTGTTATTTCAAATAAAAACTATAAGAGGTAATAAGGACTACTCAATATAAGTTAACGAACATTTCATTATAGCCAACGCCATCTACTAGTTAACTGACTCATACAAAAACTTATTGAATGTATAATGAATTGAATATGCATAGTGAATATCTATCTGCGGAGTGAATATACTAACAATCATATAAAGATTGTGAAAGTGTTTACGTATGTAACTATGTACTACGGTGTACAAAGGCATGTTTATGTATGAATAGATGTAGTACACCCGAGGACATAAATACTCCACAATTATCTTGTGCTTTAGAGCAATCAGTGCGTTAACTTGGCATGATGGGTACAAGGCAGAGCAGAATAGCGTTTTATACCAGTTTAGAACTATGAAGTCTAGTGGTTAGCGATACTGAATGCTAGGTCAGAGGTCATGAGGTCAATACCCACCCAAGACAAATATTGTGTGATAAGCACGATCATTTTTTCTGTGTCTGGGTATAATTTATCTATTATACTTATGTATTTAGAAACATATAAGTAGTTTATTTAGAAATATTCGTAATTGGGACTAAAGTAATAGCGTTAAAGCTAAATCCTGTTTAAAAAAATTGGAAGATAACTGAATTAAAGAGTCATTTTATTGTCAATTGAAAATAAAAAAAGAGTTTTTAATTTCTGTGATTTTTAATGAACGTGTTTAAAACGAACACTTTAAATGATAACTTTAAATGTGTGTATTTAAACATTAAAATTTCTGACTTTAAACAAAGAACGTTCTGTCTAGATTTTAAATCGAAACAATAATATATTACTTAATATATGATCGGTTATGTTTTAGAAAAAAAACACAGTTTATTTAATATCTTGTAACTCGTGAGTTGCAGGTGTCTATATGGGCGGCGGCAGTCACCATCAGGGGCCCATCTGCTCCCCCCCCCCACACTTAAAAAAAACCTACTCAGATGGGCGATACACTCATATGTATATAATATTTAATCTCACCCGCTACATCTCACGTCTTCCACCAAACAAGAGAGAGTGAATGACGTTTTATTTCGTAACACGCTGTCACGTGTGGTGCGTAACCTTGCGAGATTTCGCCAAGGAAACGCTTTCGAGATATAACCTGACAGGATCTCTTGGAGATGTGCGTGAGCTGTATAATATAACATTTAGAAATCGTGGGACCTTTCCGAGAATGTGAAACTTTATGGCAAAAGGAACGGATTTAACAGTAGGTATATTATATTTTATGCAACGTTCACATAAATGATCGTTGGCGCATAGTGATGAAATTGTAACAGTCTTGTCTTAACTCAGACGAAGTACATTATTAATTTAAATTGAAAAAAAACCCTGAATAAGAAAATATTCCTGTGTCGTGAACTCGTGACCGACTTCACACTCGAACCTAATGGCTTGGCAACTAACGATGTCTTCGGACGATATTATCTTTATTACCAAGACCACTTTATGTAAATAATAAACTGCCCTTACTTTCTCGCTCATGGATTGCTACATCATGACGGATTAAGAATACGGAATGTCACTACCCCAATTCATCCCGTGGGTGTCGTAAGAGTCGACTAAGGGAGCAAACGACGCAGGACAACAGCACTGCAAAAAGAAGGAAAACTTGACACAAACCCTATATATCCTTCTGGCCAGCGTGGTATAGTAGGCCAAAACCTCCTTTCTAAGGAGAGGCCTATGTCCAGCAGTGGACTATTAAAGGCTGTTGATGTGATGTGATGTATTTTATGCTGTACCGTACTGTTAATTTCATCATCATGGAATCATTTTTATAAATGTTGCCATAGCGACAGGATAGAACATAGGGTACAGGATTTCTAATACATATTTGTGCCTTGTGACTTCTAGACACACACATGTGAAATAAACTTGCACTCGGCCCGCAGAGGCCCAAGTGTGAGGTCTTTCACATTAACTCGGTCTCGACAGCGAGCGCAATCGGCGTTGCGATTGGCGCACACAGAAATCTTCACCGGGCCCTGAGGCTATCTGAGTATCTTTGAGATAATAAATAACAACCTTCTGAAAGGCTGTTTTTTAGTATCTCAAAAGATACTCGTAATATGTATATGGCAGACAGCGTGTAAAAATAGAATACACCAATCATTGCACAGTCCGAATTACTAGTTGTCTCAGATCACACCGAAAGCAAAGGCATTCCTTGACGCCAATTACGCCGTTGAATATTTAAATTATGTTTAATGTAAAGTAGTGTATTATGTATTTGTGTAATATAGATCTGTGTGTGTGCATTTAGTGACATTGGGTAGGTTTAATTAGATTAAATTCAATGTTAACAATATTAAGACATTGTGATTACACAACACATAAAACAAAAAATGTCACGACGAGTAAATCCGAATACCTATTCGGATATTAATAATATCAGACCAAGAAAAAATACTTAAAATCAGTGTATCATCAGACCGGTCTAGAGCGAAAGAGAGCAAAAATAACCTAAAATAATATATTTAAAAATTATAATAATATTATTCCGACGAACTGCGAACCTCTTCCTTTTTTGAAGTCGGTTAAAAACAAAACACAGGTACAAAATTAATTAAATATGTTTAACTTTTAATTTGGAAAAATGCACTACTGACAAACTCTCAGTGACTAGAAACTGACGCGTCTTTAATTTGAAACCACGGATTGAAACAAAGGAAAACGATTGCTATTTTTTTATTGTTTCTCTGTATAAATGTTGTTATGAAATTTTTACTGTCCAACTCTTTCTTGGTCTGAGATTATAGTAATAAGTGCTACACATAAAGATTATAATATGAATTTACAGAAACAACATTAAGGCACACGAGCAATTATCTAAATATATATAAAGAAATGTAATCAATTTTTAAAAGATGACTCCTTTTGCAAAACAATATTTTAGATTCAGTCTTTGATTAAATAAACAATTTAATTATGCTTTAATTTTATTCCACAAAATTTATTACATTTCAAAACCATTTCACAATCTAACATTCACACATGCAATCATCCCTACTTACACTATAGTCCCTACTTATATCACAGTCACTTATGAAATATAATTCCACTTACTAGCGTTGTGAACAACTGGAGCTATATCCGTGGGTCGTTCCGTCGTCTCTCGATCCACGCAGCAAGCCCAAATCATGCCACCTGAGCATAAATCTAAGGGTTTCCCTCCACCTATCACACATGATATGCTGAGCCCACATGGATATCTGGATCCTCGGTAGCGGCATGTTTGTGGTATCACTGAAACAATGATGAACAGAAATTTTAATAATCTGGTTAAAGAAATGTTATTTTTTAACCCATTTTAAAAGACGAGAAGGTTCTCGACCGATTTAAAAATGCATTTTGTATTTGGGAACCTATACATTAATATGGTGATTTATATTTGGAGACCTATTTGATTAATTTCATTTAATGTTAAGTTTCTCTATTTCTTTTTTTTATTTTCGAAAACCAACCATTGTCCAATGATTGTTACTATTACGTTGCTAAAGTATCAGCCACGGATAAGAGGGGACTCTTCTTATACAGGTTATTTAAACTTAACAGAAGAGTTCCCAAACCCCATAATATTTCTCATGTAATAGCTGAAAATAAAGATATTTTTATTTAAATTTAGTGATCGAAAGACCTCGTTACGTTTTTTGTGCGAAACCTATCGTGCGCACCTTTCACATGTGTGTGTATAACTTGTATAATTGTGTGCGTCCAGTAGTGCGTCGGCGTCAGCGCCGACGCACTACTGGAGACACACTTTTTTTTATATATATATTGCCTGTTTGTTCTCCTTCCAGTACAAAGAAAAAAGTCCCCCTAGAAAAAAAAAAGTAAGGAAGGAAGACTACAGTTGGTTACAATTTCATCATGATGTATTGATTGAAGTTGTTGAAGCTTTTTTTTTTAAGTTAATTATTATTATTTGCCTCAACATTTTGGTCAGTTTAATTTCATGTATAATAGTAACAATGTAACCTCATTAGAGGCTATAGATAATTCACAAAGAAAATAAAAACCATAGCTGGTTTGAATACTGCGTTAGATTAAAACTTCATTGTTTGCTAGCTAGTCCATGTAGTGTAATTTTTTTACTCAAAAACTCGGCAGAGCTATAATAAACATCAGGACATTGTCCACGACTAAAATGATGATAAAGATTATTTCTATAGTCTCTCTCTCTCTCTCTCTCTCTTAGTATAACCATAACCAGTTCAAACGAATGTGAAAATGCAACTAAAGGTGTTATCACACTGCATGAAGTTCTTATAGCAACAACAACAACAGCAAAAAATTGAGTGTCATTTACGTTACCCTAAGTTTTACTACGGTTATATTCTTTCTTGAATAGTTTTGCATCCAATTACTTCTTGTCCTAATCATTGCCATATTTTGGTTAAGTAAACATGTCAATCATGTCTCAATTACGTCATTAAGATTAACCTTATTAAGCTAAGATTAACCTTAAACAGAGTTTGAAAAACGTGTTTATTGTTTTTCTGGAGCACTGGGGTATTACAATAAAAACATGCATTGCTTAGTTAATATTTTCTACTAAATGCAAATTCTAGCAATTTAACTGGCGCCTGAAGAAATATTACATGAGATAGCAAGAAGTTAGAACCGATATACAAGTTTAGATAGAATCTCTGAGCATCAGATGCTATTAAACCGGATGGCTTGCAAATTAATGTTTGCACGAGATTGTAAGTAACGCGAGTTTAATACCGCTTTCAAATATATATATTATACTGTGTTCCTTTAATTATGGACCATCCGTTAAACTTAATAACGAATAATTTTAGCTGATTTTAATAAGAGTGGGTTCTTAATATACCTTTTTTATTATTTAGCCGCAATTCACTCTTTTTTTTAGATACTCTAATGACTTCGAATGAACATACTTTTATATTGAAATAAAAAAAATAGACATAAATTACACCCAAACACAGAATAAGAGATCGTGCTCATCACACAATTATTTGTACTGAGTGAGAATCGAACCCACGACCTCTGACTTCGCAGTCAGGTTCGGTAACCACTTGCCCAACAGGCCAGTATATTTGTGAACCGATTTCAATATTTTTTTAAATTGAATAAGATGATTTAAGGTTGTGGTGGTGTAAGAGATGAACAAAATAGATTATTACAATTTATCATGATTTAGGCTCATAAAGAGAACTGGGACTTTAAAGAAAAACTGGTAAGCCGAGGGGAGAGCAAGGAATAAATCAAGTCTCTTATAGAAATCAAGTATGGCCTTTCGGTAACTCAAGGTCCAGGTCGCGTTACGGGGTACGAGTGTCAGTCCTATGAGCTTCAATCACTATTTAAGTTGATTAACAGAACGAAATAAAATAGAATTACCGGGTGATGCCCGATCTCCCCAAATTCCAAGTTCCCCGAAATGATTTCTCATTGATTATACACCATTTACTGACGAGTCAGTTGGTCTAGTGGTTAGTGAACCTGACTGCTAAGCCGGAGGTCGATTCCCACCCAGTACAAATAATTATGTGATGAGCACTATTATTTGTTTTGTGTCTGAGTGTAATTTATCTATGATATGTATGTATTAAGAAATATATATGTATGTTTAACAGCAATCTGGCTACCATAGTACAGGCTCTGCCTAGTTTGGAACCAGATGGCTATTATTATGTTTTTTTTATAAGAGTTTATCAAATTAAATGTACAATGGGTGGTCTAATCGATAAAAAGCAAAATCGTACTTTTGGATAGACAAATCAAATAGGTGTGAAAATAAACGTTCCAATTATCAATCATTTAGTTCTTTCAATGGTAGATCAAATCATTATCTTGTACAAATTAAGTTTATATTAAAATAGGCCTAACTTATGCGTTAAAAAAAGCAACTCCCGCTTTAGGAATATATTTCTGTGTTAGCGCAGTATGCTAGGAAGCGGCAAGGGGACCGTTTAAACCACTACGCCATCCGTGCAGTCAAAAGTTTCAAGATTCATATTTGGCTGTTTTACTTTTTAATACCCGTTACAAAACCTAAATATAGTTTGACAATTTATATTTTTACCCAACCTCTTCAGTTATTTACAGATTAGAGAAAGAAAGCCCTGTTAAAACATTGTATACGAAATCTTAATCAATGATCAGCGCCTGCGCACGCGACACTTAAGAGTAAAAGCGTTGCGATAGTGAAAATTGTACGGTCGTTAACCGCCGTATTGATCTATGGATGTTTAAATCATGTTGCGTGATCTTTGTATTGAGTAACAAGTGTATTTCCATAAATTTTATCTGCATTTCTTTTGTAGATAATTCATTACTACAATAGTTATTACGAGAGATTGTTGAACCTATGTCCTGTTTTTTTAACCCCCCACGGATTCAATTTTTTGTTGAAAAAAGAAATGTGATTGAAGATCATCAGCTCACTTCCTAAGTGATGAAGGGATATCACTAAAATCAGCAGGTCCCATTGATCTGAAACTTTGATGGTATTTTCACGACATGGTAACTTGGAACCTGCTGCTGCATCAAGTAGTCTGCGGGATACCCAACTCATAAGAAAATTACATGTTTGGGCTTATAAGAACAGACTCAATGAGCAGTTATTGTTTTTTAAAGTTTTTACCTTGTGTCGGGGATTTTTATGCATATAAAGTTACTGAAGCTATAAACTTAAAATTTTGGCAGCTGATGCTTTATATCTTGTAAGCATATACGAAGAAAGGAATTTTGGAAATTCCACCGTAAAGAGTATAAAATAGGGTAAATACGGTTGTATGTGTGATGTTGTTGTACAGAAGTCGCTGGCGATAGCTAGTTTATTTTAAAATTACAAAATTACTGTTTGTTTTTAAAAGAACTTCACTGCAGATAGAGTTTATTCTTAATGAGATGCTGGAACGGATTGTTTCTCTTCAAATCTCCGTTATAATCCAAGTTTAGTGATAACCATAATTATATCTGAAATATTTTTATTAATAACATAATTGCGTTCATTAACTCATGATATAGCCCAATTATCGTTAATTAATCATTGTAAGATGTACGGATACTTGGTTAAATAATTTCTTACTATAATTACGAGTATAACAGATCTTGGTCACTTTTTATATAATAAAAATAATTGTTAAAATTTATGTGATCCTGGTATATGTAACAATATGACCCTAAACCAAGCAAGCAATACTACTGAAAAACTTTAATAATAAAGTAATACACACTTATGTATTATTAAACACATACATTAATAAATTTTAACGTATCGTGCTCATCACATAATTATTTGTCGTGGGAATCTAACTCACGATATCTGACTCAGCAGTTAAAATCAGTATCCACTAGACCAAAAGGCCTGTTGTTGAAGAAGAAGTTGAAGTCAAATGTGGGGGGGGCCCTTTCAAGAATCATATTTGTTTGTCTTACATGCAGATATTTTAATTACAACAATTTTAAGTTACGGTAAAAATACGTTCGTTATGTTCGTTCACACTGATTTTCATATTTCTTTTATAGAATGCGATGCTTTCGTTAAATCAGTATTTATTTTGTAATAGCTGCCATTTATTTTGAAAAGAGTTTTTTTACGAAAAAAATAATTTTATATCCACAATATCTTGGGTATACTTAGTATTGTATATACTTTACAGTTTATAAGGTTTTGCACATTATACATATTTTCGCCGTGAATTTTCGATTAAGATATCCAATATGTCTAGTATACTCGGGAGTTTAACGAATGATCTGAAGGAACCGCCGTGGTCTTAAATTTATGTCATTCTTCAAAAAAATGTGCATTTTATAAAAGATCTCAGCAAATCACGTTAACAGTACGGATATTACATCAGGCAGCCTGCTTATTTACCCAGGGGTTTAGGGATGTAAAAAGTAAATAAAAATAACCTAGTCATTAATACATAAATTGTTATACAATGTTATTGCAAGGGAATCGGGCATACCCTTGAAAGGAAGTCCTCGGAAGGAATTAAGTATTAATTTTATCCTATAAAAGTAATTCAATGTTTTGATAGCTTAGGTTTACCTGTTTTTATTTTTTCTAAGAATATGATTTAATTAATAACATTACAATAATATTTACTTGTGCTACTAATAAAAATAAAAAAAAGATTGCACTCTGAGAAAAAACTTTTTTATCATTTTTACCGCTCAATTATGCTTCAGTGGTTTTAAAGAGGTATTTCGTTAGCCTAAAACTGTCTTTTATTTTTATCCCTTAAGAAATATTTCAATTACAACATGGTTGTACCATTGCTCCATTACGTAAAAACAAGGTATGTGTGTTTATCTATTAAATGTAGTTAAATAATACGCTGTGTTTAGTCTAATTAGAAGTAACTACGAGTATCTGCGTCCATGATTATAATAATAAGCACTACTTTATATAAAACAAGTCTATCTGTTCGCGATAAACTGTCGGTTTTAACATGGCAACTAGCGCCCTCTCAAAATATCTTCAAGTGTGTAACATATTGTACAATTTGATGAAAGAAATAAATATTATTATTAACCAGACTGCTGATAATTCTTTTCTTCTTTTTTTTTTAAAGACAACTCCCGCATTAGGAATACATTCCTGTGACGCGGGGGACTTCACAAACATACATGAAACGGACACAAAGAACACCCAGACTCAGAACAACAATTTGTGGATTACACAAAGTGTTGTCCCATGTGGGATTTGAACCCACAACACTCGGCGCTGTAGGAAGCGGCGTGGCGACGGCTTAAACCACTACGCAATCCGTGCAGTTAAATAATTATACTTACATATTTCTAAATGTATACGTCATGTTATATAAATTACAAACAAAGACAAAAGAAATTATCGTGATCTTCAGATGCACGTTTATTTACTTATTAAAATCTTTTTATGAGTTTTTACACCACTAAAAAAACAAATAACAGTTAAATAATTTCGAAATCATAGAAAGTAACAAATTTTTGTGAGTCTGTGGCGACCGAACAAGCAAATTAAGAATCTTTAATTAAAATACAAATTATATACATATTTTTAACAGAATCATTTTTGTCTGTACAAAACTAATATGGTTTTTATGATTCCGCTATTTCTTTTTTTTTAATTGGTTACATATTTGTTTTAAAATTATTTTCTGTTTCATTCTACATTAGAGCCAATTTCGTTTTATACACCGGCCATCATACATTTTTTCTATGTTTCTCTCTGGTTATTTCTTTTTAATTTATAGAATTAATAGAAGCGACTCCCTCCATCCCTTTTTTTAAAGAATCATCTATATCAGTTAACTCAGTAATGAGATGCTCATTTTTGTTTTTTAAATGATTTTAACCTAATATGAAACAGACTACGGACTAAAAATAACTCAGAAATTGATGATCTTAATTAATGAAAAGCATTGATAGGTAGTTAAACTATATCAATAAAGTAAATTAAACTACAAATTACTCACTTTTGCCCAATAAATCCATTATGGAATCATCCTCCTGCGCCGATGAACTATATGAGTGATATGAACCTTTTCTCCTTCCTAAAGCACCCAATAACAAAATATCTTTTTCTTGACCGTTTGATGGCCGCCTTCTGTCCGATGGCAAATCATTTTCTTTTGTATCCAATCCATCTTGTAATGTCAATACGTCGTTTTCATTACATATAACAACGGTTAAACAACTTAACACGGTTAAAAAATACAAAAAAGACATTTTATAAAACTTTTTAAAATCACTTTCACGCGCTCTTCTCCGCGTTTTGAAATTTTTCTTTTTAATTTTTCCCGCCGATCCATCGAGTCCGTTTTCATTTACATTTTTTTTACACATTTCACTGTTTTCTGTTACACATTGTTTTCACTTTTTTTGTTTAACTTATTACGTTTTTTTTGTTTGTGTGAGACGTCTTAGCGCGGGAAGTCGGGTTTCGGAAGTAAACTGTGAATGCGTTGCGCTTCGTTCCTTTTCACTTTTCGTTTGGGGTTCCTCAAGCGTTTTACATTTTCTTAATGATGTTTCATAAGACATGTTTCAATATCTCATTTTTTAATTACAATTGTTTATTATGCGACCATATCTGCAAAGTAATTTGGGATATTATTGTACTGGCTCTTCTATACTTAAATAGAAGAAAATGATGGGTGTAAATTGTACAGAACCATATTTAAATATATTTTTAAGTAATTACATTATAATGCAAATAATAAGTCATTGTTTAAGCGTGTTCTTGATGTGCGTGACGTATTTATATTATATGTAATAACACTTTTGCAGTGAAAATCAGTATTTTGACGTGCCAATTTGATATAATGACGGCAAAGTTAAACACGAACTTTCACAGGTATCTTTAGCCTATCGGGTATCTTTTATGTCATCTGTCTTCGTGATATACCAACGTCAGTCATAGACAAATTAAGATTAAGTTATAGATAAAATTATTGTTTTTAATGTGATTAAAGTTATAAAAATAGTTTTCGTACTATATTTAAGATAAAACCAATGTTATGAGTGTCGAATATTGATGTTTGGTGACATAACGAACATTTTGAAAGCCTAACACGTGCGTAACACTTTTACAGGTGTTTTTTTAATTAGAGGTGCCCACATTTATGTTCATATTAAAGCAATTGTTATGGTCTTATGTATTTAAAAGTGAACCATTATACTGTACAGTTACTCGCGTTTCCGGCTATTCTGTGTTTGTTATAACTTTTCCCATGTCTGAGTTAACTCTAAAAAAAAAGTTGCAAGACGAAATAATTATTATGATATGCTTTAAAAATAATGTTGGCAGATCTATAAAGAATCTGTATAAAACTATTATCTTTCTTTAATGACCATTTGATCAAATGATGTCCTAACGGTAACGGAGGTCGTAGGGTCTATTCGATATTCAAGGACAGGTCTTCTAGTAAATAAGTACCCAACTATAAAGTTTTTATGACAGCTTTAAAAATCTGAGTGTTTAAGAATTATCATTAAAAAATAACAAGATGGTACTGCACATTGTGCTATTTTTTCATGGCTTAATTGATGCTGATGATTATATTATGGGTCAATATTTTATCTAAATGAGATACAGTGGGTGATGGCAGGGTAAAACGTTATTTTCATCATCATCAGCCTATCGCAGTCCACTGCTGGACATAGGCCCCTCCCATTGCACGCCACTTCGATCGATTTTCGGCTACTCGGATCCAGCTCCTGCCGGCCATCTTGCGCAGATCATCACTCCATCTGACCTGTCGTCCTACACTACTTTTAAATAGTCGCGGTCTCTACTCAAGGACTCGTTTACCCCAACGGTTGTCGGTTCTGCGGCTAATACGCCGGTGGGCTATGTTAATGAGTTTGGTCCTCTGCCTGATCACCTCAATCCTGATGCGATCGCTTAGAGACACGCTGAGCATAGCCGTTATTAAAAACTTTAGTCAAATCGAGTCAAAATATACCATTAAGCTTAGGCCATAATTGTAAATAAAAAATAGTATTAGGTTGACAAATGCACAGTCACTACAAAAAAATACCTACTAGTTACTACTACTAGTTTTTTTTACTCATGTATCTTTGCATATACTATAAGTTCATGCGCATAGAGTACCGTCCTATCAATTTAGTGAGACATTACATTACATTAATAGCCTTTAATAGTCCACTGCTGGACATACATCTCTCCTTAGAAAGGAGGTGTTGCCCTACTATACCACACTGGCCAGACGGGTAGTTTGCTTTCTTAGGCGGCTCTTATGGCGTTTTTGTGGTGTGGAGTTCAAAGCAACAGACGAGTCACCTGATGGTAAGTCACATGGACAGATCGTTATGATCGTAGAATAATGTCGGTTTTGAAAAAAATACGAAATTCAGTTTTTACCATAGTTGGATACTACATTGTTTAAATATTATTACTACATTCAAGAAAAAATTATATGTATTTTAGATTTTAAATTATTCAGTGTTTGTTAAAATTATTCAGTAAAATGAATTTATAAAAAAAAAATGTGTAATTATTAGTTGTAATTTTTATTGCATTTTAAAACAAATCCTATTTTTCACTTGTTTGCCAATTTACAGATCATGATTACAGATTTAGAATTAAAAAAGTTATGTCAAAAAAAAACATATTCGTAATTATTTGAAATGGCTGCAATGTAAAGTTCAATAAATGTCAGATCCGACACTATTCTACGACTATGACGAGATACATCTCAAGAGACATAAGTGTATTGCAGCCCTTTGAGTGTGACTGACTAGATTGGGACTAATCCCCCCCACACTCCCACCACTGTATCTCCTGTACACCAGGATCAGCAGCAGTGACCCACGAAAACACCGAGAAATTGGAACAGTTGGAAACAAAATAAATTGGTAGATGAATAGGATGTAGGATTGAAATAATATTAAATTGATTGAATGGGGTTGAGCTCTGGTAATCTTACTCAAAGCAACGAAAGAATTGCTTAATACAGGTTTTCAGTCCAGCCCGTATTAGGTTTTTAAATGATTGACAAAATATTTTTCGTTCGATTCTTAAATATGTCGTACAAAATCATGCCGACTTTGAGTTTATGCCGCGTTCACATTGCATTACGGATTTATTTCTCATAAAAAGATCTATTACAACCTAGCAACACTACACTATCTTTTACGGTTAACACAAAATGTTATAAACATTCATAATAATATTCTTTGATAAAAAAAGTTATCTCAAAAGTAGTCGCTAGTACAAAACGGCAAAAACTAGGTAAACAAAACTATAAATATAATTCCTAGAAATTATCAGTATTAATCCGGAGACATTAATGAAAATAGAACTTTTAAAAGCCACTACTTTAATATTACAACCTGCACGACATAATATATTCAGTGCTGGATAATGAGATACAAAATTTATACGCATTCAGGCACCAAGATTGAGTGGTCACACTTGAACACTCGTAAGACGGCGACTTTCGCCCGTAGCTTTCCAAAACAAGGCTTTAAATGGGCGAAAAACGTTGTAACTACCACACCGATTTAAATATAAATTTTATTACATAGGCATCAGTGTCTAAACTGCTCTGACCGGTATGCATCGGTGACAAATCCCTCCGATTGATTTGGAATAACAAATTACTCAGGAAATTGAACTTTCTACAAAGTTGATAAAGCTTAAATTTGTTTGTAAGTACGTCAGTATGTAATTTGTAAACAGACACGTCTGCTTTCTTTACTAATGCCGTCTGTTAAGGTTAATTTGCCGGTATTACATTATCTGTGGTTAATTCGTTTTTGATAGGGCTGGGCTATTGTGAGAAAAGCGCGGGAATCGGGCCAATCACTTCTGGGATTCGCCTAGGTAATTAAACTAGTTTGGTTGAATCATTCGTTTTGTAATTTGATTACATTGTTTGATTACAATGTAATTGTTACTTCCCAATCGGAATCTCTTGCGTATTTGATAAATAGCAACAAATTATTAAGTTAAAAAGTAAAACGTTTAGGGCTAAAAGAGTTACTTTTCTTAACTAAATATAAATCTTGCTGTCATATTTTACTTGGTCATAATTTTTAAGATAAAATAAGTTCTGTATGGAAGCTTAGATCTTAGAAAATCGAAAGTATAGATAAAATAAAACATAAGTATCAAAATAAAGAACCTTCTCCTTATTAAAGTAGATTAAAAATATATTACAAAGACATTTAGCGCCATTCAAACTTGAAAACTGATTTCTAAAAAAGGTGAAAATCTAATATTAGACAGCAACAAAAAATGGCTACAAGAAATGCTATAAAAGAAAAAAGCAGAATCAATGTGTAAAAAACGGAAAAATAACAGCAGAAAGGCCAACGAAACTAAGAGTGTATCGGATCGTTTTGACAGTACATCTTTCCCGCCAATTTCACTTTCGTTTCGAATGGTGCGAGACCCGCGTGAAATTATCGGCCAACGGCCGCCATATTTGCACGTCGCGGTTACCGAATGATTGAACAATAGGGAAATGTTTGAATAGCAATAACATTTTGTTAAGTAATAATTAATGTTCACTTTCGGAACATATCAGGCATAATATTTTTTTACTTGCGTGTAATCTCACTTACGTTTAGGTAATCACGAAAAAATTGTAGAGAATTATATTGACTTTCCGTTTTAGAAACAGTAATTAGCTATTGTAATGAGTAACTACATTGATCATGTATGCGTATTACATGACTTTATTCGTGTAGTTATCAGTTCATAACACATGAAGGATATGTATAAAATACACTGCGCATAAGAAAGAAGTATTTATTCTTACCTAATCCAATTTCTTTCTGACCAAATCCTTTTATGGAGTAAACATAACATTCCTACAACATGATTACATCCTGTCTGTAACATGTTTAAAAGGTAACTATATCTATAGGTATTTATACCTAGCGCGGGCCTCCAAAAGGCTTGTGCAGGAGTTGACGTGCGGTGATAGTCACTTACCATCAGGTGACCTATGGAACGGTTGACACCTCGCCTGGTCGGAAGATTTTGTCTTTTTGTTGATGGTGCATAAAATATTATTCTATTCCCCCTCAGGATCGGATAAGATAATATATTATACTTATGAACAACTTATTCGTAAATTCGGCTTTTAAGGTTTATAGCACCAATGGCAATGGATACGTGGGTGACCAACTTAAATGCACTCTAAGAGTAAATAAAGTTGTTCCCACGCTTCTAGTAACACAAACCTAGTACCATG